TGAAAAATATCTTTATCACAAAATGCTCTTCCTAAACAATATTTTTAAAAAAAGTTAACACACAATTATTATATATATTGGTAGCATGCACTTTCCTGATTGATCTCCAATGTATAATTTATATTTCTTTATCACTCCACGTGCCAAATCAAACTCAGCTCAACGGTGACATTTTAAGACTATTACTTTTATATTTTGACATGTGTTCATGTTTATATTTTTAAAAAGTAAACATATTTATCTAAAAACAATCTGTCATGTGTGTCAAAATACATGTCTTTCTATTGTCTGCATGAGTCTTTTTTTTTTTTTTAACTTTATTATTGTTTGTGTGTTAAATCCAATTGGTCCACAGATCCATAATTACATAACCTAATTTACTGACTTCCAAGTAATAGATTTACATATTTATCGTTTTGATTGATAAAGTATCCCCCAAATCCTTCGTTGATATGTTATAGATTGGATTTTGTTTCTACACACATTCAATAACTTATATTGTTTAAGAATCTCAGTTTAAATACTTATTTATTATTTTATCTTTCAAGAGGTTTTTTAACAATGATAAAGTTTCAGTCTGAAAAGGTATATTAAAAATGCGGTGATTCTGATAACATTATTTTTAAGACAAATTATCATTTTATTAAGTCTTTTATTAAGAATGAGAGTCATTAAACTGGTGACTTATATTTTTATCTATGTCTTTTAAGAATAAAATTGAAATAGAATTCCAATTTTCAAAGTAAACAATACTTTAGGAATATATAGTAACTAATCCTAACTGTATTACTCCTAAATGAAATTATGTGAGACTAATAAAAATACTAAAAACATATTTGAAACTTAACACTAGAAGAAATTATTAGTAATAATTAAATTTAATGATTGAAAATTATAGTCAATATTAATTACTAAATCATTAAATTAATGAATATTTTTTTATATTTAATGATGAATATTTTATTATTTTTAAATATAATCTTTGCCTAAAATATATATAATATATAGGATAATAACATAAAAGCAGTTGTGTGGTTCCTATAAAATGACAAATGACTTTTAATACTTTCATTTGAAAACGTGTTGGACAATAAAATTGTTTTGTTCTCTTAGTAATTTTTATATAAGATAAATCTTTGACTAATTTGATTCGATGGAAAGATAAATAAGGAACTCTTTCCATTATGCATAAAAAATTGATTGGACTAGCCCACTTTTCCATAAATTATATATTTAAGCTTTTTTAATTGTACATTAAGCAAATTTGATTAATTTAATTCTTTAATATATATATATATATATATATATATATATATATATATTAACTTTTATAACCCAACTTGTTGAACAGTTAGATTGGGAGATTATCATTTGAATCATTTATCATTTATTTGACTATAGCATCTCTACATTTGAATTTTTCACAATATATCAAAACATGTTCTTACATTAAATAATTTTTGTTCACACAATCATTCGATCATTTCTTCGTTCAATGTTCATTATTTCCCTTTTTAAGGTTGTTAGATGCAACATTAGAACTCTCCTCCTTCATTATTCTCATCATTATCTAAATCACGAAACTCATGCTTCCAAGTGGAAATACAAACTATTGCTTCAACATTTTTTGACAATAGACGATTTCTATACTTATTCAAAATCCTTGAGCCAATGCTGAAAATAGATTCAGATGCAACTATTGATTGGTTAGGCTGGGCAGGTTAGCCTACTGAATTGGCATGTCGAGTTAGACAAGGATAAGTTCCTTACATTTTAGCTCTTTAACAATGTTGGACTATTGGACTGATCTATTTCACTAGGTGGACTGACTTGCTAAATTGGACACGATAGATAGTATCAAATAGTCGTCCCAACTAGTTTTTTTTAACTAGGTATCCATATTGACATCGAATTTTTTTACCACCTCTGAATATCATTAGTAATATATCTTAAAATTATGGGTAAGCTTGGAAGCATCAACATATCACTACAGGAGCTCTCGTTATGAACTATGCAAAAAAAATCAAAATATGTGCTATTTTCCATTTTTCTTTAAAAGAAAAGGCAATGTCTACATGTTTTACAAAAACTATTAAAAGACAAATGAGAAAGGGGGCATGATCAGATATAATAAAGACATGTGTAATTTTTTATGGATGTTCAAGGAATCGTGTTGATCCGAAATATCTTAGTTCTTTAATAAGTGTTCTTTAGCTGAGTTACTATATAATGTACTATTTAAGTTATAATTTTTTTTGTTTTCACTTTCTTAATCCATCCTATTATATGTTTTCTCTTTCATGTGTGAGGAAACATTTTCAAATGAAAAATAAAATATATCTTAAGATAATAACCGAGAGTTCATGGCTTGTACAACTCTATTTTCAAGTTTGGTACGACTTTTCTTCTTATATTGTTTATTTTTGTCATTATTCATGATTTGTGTGAGTATTTCTCCTTTATTTTATAAATAGTTTTAGTCTTTAATAAATATTGATTTTTTATTAGTTTATCTTGTTTTTTCTCTCCTCAATTTATCTTTGTAAAGTGTTTAACCATCATTTTCATAATTATAAAATCCTAAAGGGAGGAACCAAAAGATGAACCTCATCCATGAATTTATATGAAAGAATATTACTTATTGAACGATAAAAGTAAGTGCAACCATTCAAGGAATAAATTCACAACTAATTTCATTAGATACGTCTTCTATGATCAATCTATATTGAGTTAAGTTAAAAAAAAATAGTCATATGAGATGAAAAGTGTTTATTGTATAATTATAGAAAAAAATATATGAAAAATTAACCAAGAATTAAAAAATTAAAAAGAAAACCTAAATATTGAAAACCTCTTTCCTACAAGAAAGCATATGCATGCATAGGTATTTGTTTGTTATGGGATCAATAGTTGGTGTTCATTCTTTTCCTACTCAACAAAAGGCATCTCATTCTTTTTTTTCATACTTCCATTTATGGTCATATTTGACTTTATTGCATTGTTCATTAAATAAATATTTTTAATATATAAAGTTATGTCATAAGTAAAATTCACAATAAATAAATATCTAAAATTTGAGTTGTAATAGAGAGTTATCTTTAACTAAAAAAACTTCAACAAATTATAAAGATTCAATTAAGAGATGGAGACGAAAGAGAGAAAACTAATAATTATATATGATTAAAAACATAAACAATGAAGTTATTATAGTTTGAGACGATTGAAAGGAATTTTTTCCCTAGTTGCTATAATAGTATACGGAGTGAGAAAAGAATAAGAATATATGAATGAAAAAAAAGTGACATTCTCATTCTCCACGTTACAGTTTCTAACTTATAATACACGAGTATACACATATTTTAATACATTTTTAAGCATATTTAAAAATATGTTAAAGCATACAAAAAACGTTAATAACACTTAATCTTTAAATTATATATTTTCACTAATAAATAACAAAACTTTAATTTGAAATAAGTTAAACAAGAAATTTTATATTTTTTTCAGTTTGAAATAAAATTACATATGGAAGAATTTTCAACCATTGGACATATTTTTATAAATAACTTTTTTCCCGACCTTTAAAAGTTTGAAAATTTGATTTTTTTTATCTTATTCCTTTATTATTATGCTTTGGTGTTTGAAAAAAACAATTATAATTAGAAAATAGTATTGTCTAATATGTTTTTTTAATTAAATCAAACTCAATGTAAATTCTTTGTAATAAGACTAATAAAGTCTAACTTAGAGTTTTTTAATTTTGAATTTCATAAGTAACACATAATTGATATGTAAGTAATTTATATTATGAATTTATTTTATAAATATGCTCAATTCACTTAATTATCTTTTTATTATGGATGATAAAATGAGTCAGCTTGTTCCATTTAAGTCTGATCCGAATTTGACCTACTAAAAACATGTCAGGGTGGACTGATCTATCACTTAAGAATAGGGTTGTTTTTTATAACTCAACTCACCGAATTGTCGAATTGATAAGCCTATTTTTTATTTTTAACTTTATTTTAAAAAAATATTGCGATGAAATTTATAAAAAAACAGTGTCAAAATATAACAACTAAACTTTACTCAAACCAATAAAATTTTGGTCTATCAAATGGGGAAATCCCAGAAAGTCGAGCCAAAGAAATAAAATATAAAGACAAAAAACATAAATTTGAAAATATAAATTTTTTAAAATTATTTATTTATATTTGAAAATCTTGAACTTTAATAAATTTAATTACTTTCATAAAAAAAATTCTGTTTTTCTTTAAAATTTACATAAATAAAATATTTATTAAAAAACATTTTAAGTTCTGTCTTAAAATTTCCTTATCTAAAAAGGCTAATAATTAAATTTGCATACAACAATAATAAAAGTATATGGCGTCTCATTTATGTTTCCTTAATTTATTCTCCTCGGGATCAAGAAAAAAAATCACAATTAGTGTTGTTCTGTGCTAAAGTGCGATTAGATATTTTGTTAGTGATGTTAGGTGAGTGATAGATGTTGGTGTGGTGTTAAATGAGAGTTTGTAAGAGGATTATGTGTGTGATAAGGGTTCATTACTTAAAACACTATTACATCATATTAATTACTTATATAGAGATATAATTTTTAAGGTCTTACATTTTCACAATTGCAAAAATAGATTTTGTGAAATGTATCTGGAAACTCGTGATTGTCGTAATAGATAAAGTTAACTATTATTATTATTACTATTTTATTTTAAAAATACTTCCCAAAATAATGATATGGATAATTTTCTTAAATTTACATTTTGTGAACAAAATAATTAAAATTTAATAAATAAATAATAATTAGTGAAATATATAGATATGAATTTTATTGTAGACTGTATTAAAAAACTTGTTGAAGTGTTTAAATTACAAAAATTGTATTTGTGAATGGAGCCTTAATATTTACGGAAATGAGAATAAAAATAAGAATAATTATCTTTAAAAGAAAGCAATTCAGTAAAAAGAACAACTGGTCAGTGTTCGGTTTCACTTGTACTATCGTACTAACTCACTCACTTCACTCTACAGAGAAACCACCATGGGAACGCTGTACCCGAACCCGATTTTGCCATCCGAAACCCGAATCGGATGGGTCGGAATCGGCGTAATGGGCTTTGCCATGGCCTCTCGCCTTCTGTCGGCGGGCTACAGTCTCACCTTCTACGCCCGTAACCCCTCCCACCCCAACGCCCTCGCTCTCCAATCCCGAGGCGCCACCCAGGCCCAATCCCCGGCCCAACTTGCCCAACTCTCCGACGTTCTCTTCACCATGGTGGGCCATCCCTCCGACGTCCGCGCCATCCTCCTTGACTCCATCCTCCCGGCCCTCCGTCCCAACTCCGTCACCGTCGACACCACCAGCTCCCACCCGGAGCTCGCTCGCACAATCTCCTCCAAGGCCCGCGAACTCGGCACCTGGGCTATCGACGCTCCCGTCTCTGGAGGCGATATCGGCGCGCGCGACGGCACTCTGGCGATCTTCGCGGCGGGGGAGGAAAATGTGGTGGAGTGGCTCCACCCTATCTTCTCGATCCTGGGGAAGGAAACCTACGTGGGCCCCGCGGGGTGCGGGCAGAGCTGCAAGATCGCGAACCAGATAACGATTGGCGCGAATTTGGTTGGGCTGAGCGAGGGTTTGGTTTTCGCGAAGCACGCGGGGTTGGACTTGAAGCAATTCGTGGAGGGTATCAGAAACGGTGCTGCGGGTTCTAAAGCGTTGGAGATATTTGGGGAGAGAATGATTGAAGGGGATTTCCGACCAGGTGGGTTTGCAGAGTACCAGGTTAAGGATTTGGGAATGGGAGTTGATGTTGTTGAAGGAGCCAAAGACGATGATGTTGTTGTGTTGCCTGGGGCTTCCTTATGGAAACAGCTGTTTACTAGTATGGTGGCCAATGGACAGGGAAAGCTTGGCACGCAAGGGATTATCTCTGTCATTGAGAGGATCAATGGGATGAATCAATGAATCAAAGAATGGAAATTCCTGTTCTATGTAACCAAATAATATGTTCATGTTGTAACTTTTACTTTGAAATGCTTGAGGTGGAGCAAGTGTGTTGTGTTTAGTTTAACTAGTGCTGTTTACAACTTTGGATTGCTTCTTTAGTTATGGTGATTGTGTTTTTTATGTGCCACTTTTATAAAAATCCATGCTGATTTTAAAATTCCACATTAAAATGCTCTATTGGTTTTGCTTTTCTAAAAAACAAAATATGACGTTTTTTAAACTAGTTCCTCCATTATAAGGTATCAAATTCATGTGTTTTCTAGCAGATACAATGACCAGGAAGAATGCATTGACTGAACAAGTTTGGTTGGTTCCTGAGTGTAAGAAGGTTCTTTATGTTTGATTCCTTGTTAGATAGTTTTTTAGAGTTATTGTTTTTATTATACAAAGTGGTTGAAACGAAAAAATATAAATTTAAAAAGAGATTCAAATTTCTTTATTCAAAGAAAAAGATAGAAATTAATTAAAATTTAACACAAGAAAGCACTGTTTTTTAAAATAAAAATGAAAATTAAAACCTTTGAAAATGGTGTGAGTGAGTTAAAAAGATATAATAATAAACAAAGGAGGAAAACCTATTAATCTTGTGATACATAGAAAACATAGAGAAAATCAAGAGGTTATTATTGTAATTTAATTATTTCGTATTCTGATGGAAGTACTTGGCGGGAAAATTATTTCAATTTTAATTTAATTTTGGGTTTGACATCGTTTCTTTCTTTTTTTTATCAGCAACCTCCACTAAGGGTTTGAAACCTTGAATTCGTGGTGGCTTTTGGAGCGGAGCGGAAGAAGATGGCCGCATCGAATTACGAATACCCAAGGCTCCAGCGGCCGGAAATAGTCGCAATCTTAGCGCAGTTTCAGATTGCCAATGTGACGGAACAGGAACTCGCCAAACCCAACCCTGACTTGGTCTCCGAGCTCTACACCCGCGTCCTGTTCCACCTCGGCATTCTCCTCGAGTCTCTCTCTTTTCTCTCATCTCGTCTTATTTATCGCTACATTCCTCACTCACCTTCTTCCTCTCTTCCTTTTTTTGCAGAGAAGACAACGAGCAACTCGACTTTGACGCCCTAGAGCATCTTGAAAATCCTGATTTCCACGTTGAATCCGTTCGCGCCGTCATACTCTTCAACAGGATAAAGGAGGTTCTCGCAGACATCGAATGCCCTGGCAAATTCACCTTCGCCGATCTCCTTGCGCCGGATTCTCACCGGACCGACATCTTCCTCGGCGCTCTTCTCAATTTCTTCCTCTACAGGTAAGTCTCTTTGCTTCCTCACTCGACTAAGAGAAAACCTAACTGTCATTGTTGTTTTTTCCATCCCAGGGACACGAAAATGAACACAGTGTCTGAGAGCGTGAACGAATTTAACGCTCTGGAGTTGCAGCATGAGGAGTTGGAGAGCAAGATGCTGCATGTCTGTGCCGAATATTTTTTCATCTCTTCCCATTTTCGAATTTGTTTATACTGAGTGAGTGGTTTTGTTGCAGTTGAAAGGGGAGATTGCGGAATGCAATGAGGCGAGGGAGAGAGAAATGCCTCTTGTTCAGGAGGAGTCGGCGAAAGTTAACGAGCTGAAGCAATCGATTGAGGCGCTGAACAAGCACCAGAGTTCGTTGAGGAGTACTTTGAAGAAGTTGAAAGATAGGACTGCGGAAATGGATCAGAAGGTCAGTGATTATTTACCATCTAATGCTCTGTGGCCAATAATGGAAGCTTAGTTGTTGAATCTTATATGTCATATGTTGGTGATTTTGGATGGTGTGTGAAAGAAACAACGGCATAGGAGTAAAAGGTTGAAACAATTTACATAGGTGTGAAGAGCTGAATCTTTGGATTATGTAGCTTGTAAGTGTATTGCGAGCAGCAGTTTGTCGAAAACGTTGGTTTCTAAGGTGGTCTTTCTCTGCTGTTATTCAGCAATTCACGCTTTAAACGGACTATGTTTAGTTGGATGCAAGTGTTTCTTAATTTGGGTAGAGTATAGACATTGGTCATGGCTTTGGTTTTAATTAGTTGAGGCTATGTAGGTCTTTACTATTTTGTGTATTACATTGCGATGTGACTGTTTAAGCATTGTTTTCAGTTTGGTGTTGAAATTCCTACCTTGGTCTACATACTTCAACCCCCATTGATCCTGATAGTTTGACTACTTGGTGCATATATTATATAAATACTTACTCATCCTATTTTCCTTTTTCGTAACCCAGATTTCTAATGCTGAATTTACATTGGTACAAAACGTTCAAGAAAATGCAAATCTACGTTCAAAAATTGCCCAGTCACCTGATAAAGTACAGGTAATCTTTTTTATTTTGTTCACTCGAGTAGTTAGTAGCATGGATATTCAAATTCATTCATTTTAGTTTGTTCTTATATTCCATGCATAATCAAAGTTAATTGGCTTTAATTGTGTTCTTGGCTGAAAAATTGTGGCATACTTAGCATTTCTCCAACCAATTTGCTTGTATAAATATTATATTGGCAATTATCTGGCTACCTTCGTGTTGGTTCCCCACTCGACAGTCGATCATCTTCTAGTTTTTTAGCACATTGTTAGTTTTAAACTGTTGTCCTTTTCCTGCAATTTGTAGTGGATTTTTACTAATGGGAAAAAAAGATTCTGTTACAATGGTTGGTTTAGATGTTTGTGCTCTTAGATAGAGTTATGAGATTTTTACTCTGC